AGGTTGGCTTTGGGCTGGTATGGATCCGGACGGCAACGGACGGCAAAGGAGAGCGGCGAGTATTGCGATGGTGAATGCGGGATATATTGATAGAGAGACAAGTGAACACTGCATTCCACAGGCTTTGCGCAGACTTTCTTATTTAGGAAGGTTGGGGAACAGTGAATGAAGTCAAATAATAGGAGCGTCGGAGGAAGGGAACCTCGATGGGAGGAGTAGAAGGGAACGAGGTTTTTCCAAGTGAACTGCAATCTACACCCATCGTGCGACTTGCTTGAAAAGGAAGGTTGAGCTCATCTTGAGACGGTGAAACCCAAGAAATGGTAGAATGAGCTTCAATCTACACACTTCATGTAGACCTTCTTCTCTAGAAAGAGAGGTAGACAGTGCCAACGGTTTTCCCATTCGAGCTGCAATCAACAGTTTTGGTGTAGACTTTCCTGATCGGGAAGGTTGGGTCGACCTTAGGGCAGTGAAGCAGGTAAAAGAGGTGAAAGTACTGAAACAATGCAAAGAGCGGGAAAAGCGGCTTAATGAAACAAACTCTGGTGCAGACGTGTTCATCAAGGGGAAGATACAGCACTAGTGGCTGTGTGGAAACAATACGCCATGCTCTAAAATGAACTTATAGCCTGGTGTGTGGCGTGGGTTGACCCCCAATGTCAGCGCCCAGCAGGCACGGCAAGTTGGCCAAGGACGTGCCTCAACTTCTAGAGATAATGTTTATGCTCAATGCTTTAATCCAAAACGCTAAGGTCTGAGCTCAGTGTTGGATACAATTTTGGTTAATCAAGCAATTGTTCAACAACCCAGGATGTCCGACTTTGACGTGCTGTCCACGTGAAAGTTCGCATGCTTTGATAGGTTACCATTCGATTGGTGAAAAGTTATATTGGTTTCAACATCAAACCCCCACAAAAGATCAAGGCACATAATGCTCAGAATCAAGTCAACGTGTAGAAACACATTCACCAGAGCCCTACCCAGGCAATCTAACCCACTTAGGTCCTCACTCGGAAGTACTATCCGATGGACTTGGTCAGTGCCCCAGATACTTGCCTATACCGCCACCTAACGCCATCATGTACCCAGTAACGTGGCAGTTCCTATTATCGACAAGTGCTCTCACGGAATCCCAAGTGCCTCCACGCAGTCGGCGACCAATCTTGCCAACCCTTCAAATTGGGCCCGCACAGATTTGAATCCCGTCCTTGGCATACAAAAGAGACCATGTGCCCCCAACAGTCTTAAAGCCTTATATGACACTTACTCGTGGGTCGGCCACCTAGCTATATTCTACTATTCCTCATAGATATCTCACAACTCGTTCAGTACCGCAAAGAGGATGAGGTACAGCTCTACCAACAGTGGCACGTTGTTGACTCGACGGAAACGTGACATCTCCATCATCCCCCTCGCACGATACTGATGAGTTAAAGATACATTGTCAACTTTTGGATAGGGCACGGAAATTCTGCTTGGAGTACAAGTATCGTGCAGATGTCGTGAATGAATGCTAAAAAACACAATCTCATTACCAATCTCCTCTACTTTCCTACAACAAGTATTCCAAAGTTCAACGCTTCTCATTCTCATATTTCTACTCCCGTTCCAAGTTTTTCTTTTTTCTTTTTAATTTTGGGATATCCATCTACAAAAATTTTTAGCAACAATGTCAGGTTATGGTCAAGGAGGTCAAGGGCAAGCTGATGGGGTAGGTAAAGAGTACAAGCGCGGGCCCGACAACCAGTCTGCAGCAGGAGCTATGTTGAGTTTGCATCATGTTGGCGTTGATGTAACCGGCACAAATAGGCTTCCTGGCGTTATTCCTCAAGTCCATGCAGCTTATACACACGTGCAACGGGCGCAGGCGAATTTAAACGCAGTCCGAGGGGCAGCCAACGACGGCCAACAAAAACACGGAGACCCAGCCCATCATTTCACCCAACAACCATCGGCATGGGACCAGGCCTCTTTGGGCCAGACCTCCAACGCATGCCCGTATCACGGAGCTCAATACCAGAGCAATTGCTCATATTGCGTGAATACTCAAAAGCCACCCGGTACGCCCTATCAGCCCAGTTCAGCATCCCAATCACTGCAGGGCGGTCCCACCAGGGCTCACCCGAGTGGCACATACCCTGCCTCTGCATATCAAAATCAACCTCCAGCGGCTGCCTCCCCTCAGGCAGTTTATAATTACACGACAAAGAAATACGAATATCCGCCGCAGTAGATTTCTGTGCCTGAACCAGCCAGATTGTAAAGTCCACTTGGGTTGTCTCTCGGTTTGGTTTTCCAGGCTCAGTCTAGTACGTTTGGATCGTTTTACGTTGTTCGTTGGATTCATTTGTTGGGTTTTCCGCCTTGTTTGTTCGTTTGTTTAGTTGGATGTTTTCGCTTGCTTTATGGCCTTTGTAATTGTTGCTGTCTAGATTCGCTCGCTTGGGAGGTTCTGCATGTTATAGAATTAGAATTGGTGTCAATGGATTTGTTGTTTGCATTCTTTCTCAATAGGTTTGATTGTGATGGTTGTATGTTTGGCGGGTGAGGTCTTGAGTCATTGGTTCCGCCAGATTTAGTCACTGTTCTCGGGCACTCCGTGGACACTGACAAGTATGGCGTACGAAAGAGTGCGCTGGTGATTTTTATTTTTTTGGAGTTTAGACATAGAAGCGGGAGGTTCGATGTATACTGGATAAAGGTTTGAACAAAGTAGAAAATTCCTGGATACGTGAAGGCACATCCATAGACGGGTGAACTCCATATCATGCATTTTGATCGCAGCATCGAATTGAATCCAGGTTCTCAGTATTACAACAAAGGAAAAACTACATCTCTTCTTCGAAGGTTCAGTTTCCCCTTATCCTTCAATTCGTTGTCGTCCTGTCGATAGGTTTCACCTTCCTCGCGGCGGAGCTTCCTCGCCCCCGGACGCCAAGACTGGCGCCACCCACCGATAGAAAACCTTCACTATTCCCCTCCATCCTTTATTTTCTCTTTTACTCGTCACTTCTTATCACTTCGTAGAGTAAAATCTATATTCAGCCTTTCCCGGTACGGCATGAAGGGATCACACCTTTGCTTTCTTTCTTCAGACGGCCGGTTTCAATCCAACTTCTTTTTTCCAGCTTTTGAGTCTCTTAGCTCAAGCTTGTGACCCAGTGACCTTTTTTTCAATACTGACCTGCTGTTTTACGATAATCAGCAATGATGGTACTTGTTGTCTATTTGTGTAGAAGAGACTTAGCCCACCCCCTTTGTTCAGCCGGTTTAGCCAAACCATGTCGGGAAAAAAAATGAAAGAAAATAATACTAGACCTTCGTGCCATGCTATCCCGTTCTAGCAAACCAGAATAAGGGATGTATGCCACCAATCAAAATGTGGGTGTTCTCGTGTTCTTTCGACTCTTAACCTGACTTGAAATACGTACCGATCTCAAGCCTGCAATTGTATTTGGAAGAAAAACGCAAATCTATAGAGCAAAGTGAGAAAAAACAATTTACATTCAACAATACAAGGGAATCAGTGGCATGCCTCAATCCCCTGTACCAAAACCAGATGAATTCAACATTCCGGAGGCCGCTGTGACAATGAATGAACGTGGGACATCAACCGAGTAGGCAGGCACGACAGACCTCGTGACGAAAAACGAAACACAACCTTGGAACGGTCACCAACGTGAGTAACTACGATCCGGGACGGAATAATGATCGCCCAGAGAGCGGGCACAATGATGGCCTGACAAGATGTTTTCGAATACCTGCATCGTGGACGCGCGACGGGCGTTGCTGTAAAGGCACGTCGACGCCTGTCACTGTCAACCTCTAACACCGGCCTCTAACACCGACGATGACGATGACGATTATCGGAGATTACAAAGCACTACACAGAAACAGATGGATTATATCGATACGCATCTATAATTCGACTTGACATCTGTGGTGGGCTCTGCTTCTTGGAGTTTGGACGTTATACTTTAGAGATCTTGGATTTTACAACTTATGCTCCGGTTTGGGCACTCGCAGTTTCGATCAACGACACCATCTCCAGAGTCTCCCAGCATACTTCATGTCCCGGCGAGTAGGGAGCAGCTTCTCGGGGGTTGAGACTACGATGCGGTGACTTGGAATTTTCTGGTCAAGGTTGGTGGTGCGAGGGAGTCCTTCTAAAAACTTATCATTTTCTGGTCAAGAAGAAGAAGAAGAAGAAGAAGAAGAAGAAGAAGAAGAAGAAGAAGAAGAAGAAGAAGAAGAAGAAGAAGAAGAAGAAGAAGAAGAAGAAGAAGAAGAAGAAGAAGAAGAAGAAGAAGAAGAAGAAGAAGAAGAAGAAGAAGAAGAAGAAGAAGAAGAAGAAGAAGAAGAAGAAGAAGAAGAAGAAGAAGAAGAAGAAGAAGAAGAAGAAGAAGGGCCAATAGATACGCATAAACAGGTGTCGAATGATCAAGCGCTAGAATATGGAAACGATGATTGTCGGTAGAGGGATACAAACAGTTTCGAGTGCACGGATTTACAAGATTGTCTGGCAATAAAGTGGTAGAAGTTGGATGATGTCGATGTCGAAGTCGTTGTCGTTGTCGATTGCTACGTCAACCGTGGTCACAACATCGGAGATGTCGAAGTTCATACGGGAAGATCTCTCGCTACCACCCGCATCACAGAGTCCTGCCACTGGAAGTCCACCTCTGGAACAACGACCACCTTTGAACCACCAATTGCGTTTGTTGAAAACAGGTTTCTGGTGAGATTGATAATCGCAATGGTGATTCTCAAGCGAGACGCTATATATCACAACAATTAATTGGTGGACGAGGGAGTTGATGAGACATTCCCCTCTGCTGACTGGCTGGGTGGCTAGGTCAACCGTTAACCCAACTGCTGGCTAAGAGGACTGACGAAAGCATAACCCCACTCTTTAACCCACCTTCGATTTTTACTTTCAATATAAAATTTCTTAATTTCAAAAAAACCATCAAACCCACTGCAACTCGTGAAAACGAGCCCGCATGGCTCAGTGGTAGAGCGTATCACTAGTAGCCGTCCAAAAGGCCATGATAAGGTCATCAGTTCGATTCTGATTGTGGGCATTCTTTTTTTTGGCGACATCGTAGTCTGCGATCCATCCCCTGACCACATCGCTTCCCTGCGTCGCACATTCACTTTTTGGAACCCAACTCACGACCCGTGCATGGTTAATGTTGTAATCCTCAAGAAGAGCTTGTTCCGCATCAATTTCCACTCAGGGTTTCACGATTTCGTCGATAACAGTATCAGGGGCGGCTTTTTTTAGTTGGATGAGAAGTGTACGGCTTCACCCAATCAGACTTGCGGGCAGTTTCGAACACAACGTGCGAGGAGAGGGGTTCTTCTGTGTTACCTTCGAAAGCTAAACCCTCTTCCATGCGGTCAGACGATGTTCAGTCGACCCGTTCAGCGTCCCATCACCCTGCATTTGCGTGTTCACCAACTGTTCTCTCGAACTTTGTTTCATGGGGTTTTGCGGGGTCGAGCGCCCATCTTGACTTTGAGCTATGCTTTGAGTCCCTTTTTCAACCAAAGGTGCACCAGCGCCCGCCGTGCATATGGCGTCGAGCTGGACTCCCTCACCAGTGCACACGGCCAAATGTACAGTGTAGCCTTGCGGCTCGCTGACTTTTATTTCTCCCCTTGAAATCCACAGACGGGGCGTAACCTGGGAACGAAGACTGCACTGCTTACTGTGCGCCGTGATGACCACCCACGCACAAGACGCTTAGCCAGCGCCAACCACCTACGAAGTCGCTCGTGAAATTGCGACTCGACGTTCCGTATTTCCCTCCGGGGCTCGACGGGAAGATACTCGAGTTTGAAAAGCCGGCACGGCGACCGAAAATATCTTGTTTCTCGAGAGGATTGCAGGGCCTTGTGTACCCAGGTACAATGGCAATTTAACCAAGTGTCACAGTCCCATGCTCGCGCAATATGTACAGGTACTGTGTACAACGACGGATCGGCAGCTCCTGAGGTTCTGCCATCTGGCATGCGAAATTTGGTGGAGATGGCTGGAGCGCGGCCTCGTCAGCCACTTCGTACCCTGCCGAGCGGCCCATGTGCTTGGAGATGAAGTCATGACGAGATGTCGCGAGATGCAAAAGGCGCATTCACCAGCACCACTTTCCAGGAATCTGGAGTCACAGTCCATGATTGTTGATAGTCACGATAAGGGGGCAGCCCAGCCGCCAGCGGTTGTATTTCATGGCAAAGGCGATCCCAAGGCAGCACGGCGCCAGAGAAAATAGCACAGCAGCCGGGAGCCCTGCTGGAGGTCATCACGACAGCGGGAAATTAGATGAGACGCCCAATCACGCCTCTCCTGTGCCTGGGGCCAAGCGGCGGCACGGCCAGGGCGGTCATCTAACGAGAGAGTGGACGGACCAGGAGACGATCCCCATCCTGATCCTTTTGGTCCCTGAGCCTGCCAGGCACGCGAAAGAAACGGCCCAGCTGAGGCACGGTTGCCGTGTTTCCTGCTCCCACACGCTCAATCGCTGTGTGTCGTGGGTCCGCTCTCTCTCCTCTCTTCTCTCCACCCTCACCCATCTTGGTGTCGTCCTCTCCCCCCAATTGCTTCCAATCGCCCTCTCCGCGACCCGGCTGTCGTTCGCCCTTCATTCATCGACCTCAGCCGTCGCCAGTCACTCATTAATACCGACCATCACACACACTCTTTATGTTTAGTGCTTAGTTTATGTTGCCATACCATACCGTAACATACATTCCAACGACGTCGCGTGAAGGAACCAGCCAGCCTTATAGCCTCTTGCATTCCTTACAGCCAGCAATCCCTCGGTCTCCCTTGGAAACTCTGCATCACCACAGCTATACAGTACATATGAGACTAGCCGCCTTGTAAAATAACCGCGCCCTAATACCATAATCGCACAATATTTCGAGATAAGAAGAGAAGGACCATAAGAGGACATTACCAGCACCAAATCTATTCCCCGTTCCACCCAACATGGCCCACCACCACGGTCGTCTGCATAAGCTGGTGCAGCGCCAGCGCTTCCGCCAGGACGACGATGACGAAGACGAGAAAGAGCAACAGCAGAGGGAGAAAGAGAAGGAGAGACAGGAAAGACAGCGCCAGGTCGAGACCGTCGTCAACGTGATCTTCAAGACCATGCCAAAGACATTCACTGGAGAGGCCAAATTCGTCACGCAGTCAGCGCCTCCTGGTGTCTCCCTGATCGCGCCAGCCATCCGAACCACGGCGCCCGCCCAAGCAACATCCAAGCCAAAGGACGAATCCTCAAAGCCCTCTGAGACTAAGAAGCCATCCGCAGTCTCCAAATCGTCTGAGTTCATCTCCGAGATCACTTCGGTCCCCACCAACATCCAGGACGCTGGATCATCCATCGCCGTCGCTACGGAGCCTCCTGTTCAGACAGGCGCGCTCGCTTCTGCGGGTATTGCATCTGCTGTCCCCACGGCAGCAGCAGCAGCTAGTGAAGGCATGTCTGGCGGCACGAAGGCTGGTCTCGCTCTGGGTATTCTGGCAGGTGTCGGTATCCTGCTAGCCTTTATCCTGCTGTTCTACCATCGCAAGAAGAAGCAGATCCGAGCGAAGCAACAGCTGGACGACGAGAAGACTGCCATGCGCGAACTCCCCCCGCCACCTCCTGCCGCCATTGTTCAAACAGCTCCCAGCATCCGATCGCAACGAACCATGTCCACCGCTCCCCGTCTCAGCCTTCGACCTGTTACCCAATTTTCGCCTACCTTTGGCGAGAACCGCAAGAGCGGAGGAAACCTGCTCAGTGTGACAGCCGCAGCCGCAGTGCCCCGTCAATCTCCAACGTCTGACCGCCCAGGAAGCTCATGGGAGCGACCTGGTGCTGCCAATGCTGCTCATGCTTCCCCTGCTGATCCTTTCAGCGACCCACAAGCCCGATCGCCCAGCCCTCCTCAGAATCCATTCACCAACAATGCAGCAATCGATAGCCCCCACAACTCCGTCCACAGCACTCCTCACTCTGCCAACGACCTCATCCGGGACCCTGAAATGAATGGATTCCCCATGCCTGCGCCTATTATCGCTGCTGCCGCTGTCCCTGTCCACCGATCTCAACCATCTTACGACGACAAGGAGCTTCCCCCTCCAGGTATCAACATCGAGAGCAATGCCGTTCCCCCAAGCCCTGCATGGACTGATGATATCCCTGAGTCTCCTGGCCCGGCCCCCACTGGTCCTCCTCCCGTCGCTGCCCCTAACAACGTACATCGCGTCCAGTTGGACTTTAGGCCTTCTATGCAAGACGAACTGGAACTCCGCGCTGGTCAACTCGTCCGTATGCTCCACGAGTACGATGACGGCTGGGTAAGTTCTTCCACATATGGTTCATTTAAATCTTACTAACAATGATAGGCGCTCTGCCTCCGCATGGATCGCTCTCAACAAGGTGTCGTCCCCAGAACCTGCGTCTCCAAACACCCCGTTAAGCCACGCACTGGTCCTCCCGGCCAGCGTCCCCGTGGACCTCCCATCAACTCTGCCATGGGCCCCGGCGGTGTCCCACATCCGCGTCCCCTCACTCCATCCAGCGGCCGTAACTCACCCCACCCACCAGCTCTGTCCCCCGCCAATGGCCGCATGTCTCCTGCTCCCAGCTCCAACCCACGCTCAATGTCTCCTCCCCAACAGCAACAGCAACAACATCAACATCAACATCTACAACAACAGCAATACCAACCCCATTCCCACGACCAACCCCGTAGCCGTTCAAACAGCAACGCGCCACCCGCCCCCTTCGCAGCCCCACACCCGCGCTCCTTAAGCCCCGGTCCTCAAAACATGCCTCCTCCCCAGAACCGCGGCCGCTCAAACAGCAACGCTCCCTATGCTGGTCAGCCTCGCTCAATGTCTCCCGGTCCTTATGGCGGTGGTCCGCAGTCACAGCTCCCGCCTCCGCAGATGGGACGGCCGCGGTCGAATTCGGCGGGGCAGGTCCAGGCAAGGAAGGCGAGTCCTGTGGGGCCAAGTCCGATGAATCCTAATGCTGCTGTGGCACCTGTGCCGGCGAGGAAACCGGTGCCGGGGTTGGCTTTGTAGAGTAAATGTGTGGTAGTGTGTATCGGATGGAAGAGGTTGATAGAAAGACTCGATGGTCGCTTCGTATTCGACGGTGTTCGTTGATTTTTTGTAGATTGGAGAGTAGTAGCGAGCGTCTGACATGTCTTGCGAGACATGGCATTGCTTTTTCATGAGGATATATGCCCGTGATTCCCTTTTTCTTTTCTTTTCTTTGTTTCTTTTGTGTTTTCTTTGCGTTTATTTTATTTTCTTATCTCTGTCCGAAAGGAAGGGAAGAGAGGGGGGTTTATGTCGAGATTTTCGATGCAGATTCTTTCTTTCTTGCCTATCTTTTCGGGGTTCTGAGCTTGTATCGGAGCATTCCTCCCTGTTGCTGCTACTGCTGTAACTTACAATTGCACATGGGTGACAGAGATGCCATGTAGAGGGAATATATTATATACTCCTTGTGTATGTACGCTGGCTTCCCGTCCCTGAACTGTCCCAAAGCTGTAGGAGTAGTAGCATCAGATGGGAATATGTCTCTGTTTCTCTTTTGTTGTTCATTGGTTGGTTGATTTATTGGGTAGCTGGCTAGCCAGTTCAGCGAAGAGTGAGAGAGGGAAGGAGGAAAAGAGGTTGTGTTTGTGTGATTGTGTGTGTGTATACCCTCGGGAGTCAGTCAAATCTAAACAATAAAATCAATGGAATTTGGATTACTTATGCAATTTGGATCTCTGTGGAGTACAATTGAACTGGGCTGTACGAGAAAAGATTATGAATGGGAGAGGGTAAGTGAATGTCAAAATCTTGCGTAGTCTTGTGTAGTTTTGTCTCAACTAGGTATTTTTGACAATGTACCCATCGAAATAGGAATGCCATAGGGATGTATTTGGACCCTGCAGCACAGCTACCCCTCGTCGAGCACGGACCTCCACCACACCTCCCAGAAAAACAATCCGCCCCACTAACCAGAATCTCTAAACAAGCAGACCCCAAAGTTAAAACCGACAACACTCATCCTCCACACTAATC